TGCAGTCTGGCACATTAACCCACAGCACCACACCAGGACTCCATATGTATGTATGTATATATGTATATGTGTATATGTGCTTATGTGTATATTGTATATATGTATATGTGTATATATGTAATTATATACTTTGACCTTCCAATGCTTCATGAAAATCAGTCAGCTCCCCTTGGCTGAGGTTGTAAGACTTTTTCAGTGGAATCTAATGGCTGAAATCTCTTCAGGTTCAATATGAACTGTCTCTTAAAAGCAGGCCCTATTGAGATGAATTAAAATAAGAGGAAAAATTACTTGTTATGGGTATAAGGCTGCAAGGTTATCTGAGATAACTCAAACAGTAGTGCCCTTCTTAAACATAAAAGAGATGGCCAAGATTCCTGCCTCCATCACCTCAACACACCTGTGTTTCTCTCTTTAAAGAAAAATCTTTGGTTCTAGCAATGGGGAGTTATCACTGTGACTGACTAGAGCAGTTTTGATTGAGTGATGGTATTAAAATTTGGTGCTGAATTGTACATGTAGAAAATGTTGAACTGGTGTATGTTTTACTGTGCATATTTATTGCAAAAACAGCAAATAAATAAATATATAATGTATATTTACAAAAACAGATTGGCATGGAGTTAAAGGAGATGGGATATGAACCAAAATAAGATAGTAATTATGAATACATTTAGAGAGATTTAGCTCCAAAATGAGATGACAAAATGGCTATAGGTGGAGAAATAAATTGAGTTCATAAAAAAAATTCTAAGATATGAGAAACAATTAACATCTATTATAAAGAGGAAAATGGTTGGAATGATGTCCTTAAGTATAGTGTAAGAGATAAGCTGTATGGTATAAGTGAATAGATTAGATTTAGATTGGAGTATGTAGTTATGGTGTTGGAGGAGAATATAGAAAGTGCCATGGGTTGCCTAAAGAACCAATAGATCCGTTTTGGAAGAAGTGCAGTCAGAGTGTTCCTTGGTGGTCAGATGTCCAAACTTTTTCTCGCTTACTTCGGACATATTGTCAGGAGGGACCAGTTGCTGGAGAAGGATATCGTGTTTGGTAAGGTAGAAGGTCAGAGAAAAAGAGGAAGACCCCCAATGAGATGGATTGGCCAAGAGGCATGATCGATGAACTCAAGTGTAGCAACAGTAGTAAGGTTGGCCCAGGACTGGGCAGTGTTTCGTTCTGCTGTGCATAGGGTTGCTATGGGTCAGTACCGAGTTGATGGCACCTAACAACAACAACCATGTTGCTAAGTGTCATTGAGTAGGTTCTAAGGAGCCGGTGAGTTTGAACTGCTGACCTTATTTGAACCGCTGACCTTGTTTGAACCACAGACTTTGCAGTTCAAACTGACCTTGAGGTTGAGTGCTAATCCTATGGTGTCACACCAGGACTTCAAATTAGAGTATTGTTGTTGTTAAGTGCTGTCAAGTTGGTTCCAATTCATACCACCCTGCACAGGGTTTCCAAGGAGTGGCTGGTGAGTTTGGACCAATGACCTTGTGGTTCAAACCCACCTTGTTGGCCAGTACTTATCCTATGGTGCCACCTCATTCAATTATAATAGAAGGAAATGTTAAGTACTTGGCATAGAAAATGGCAGTTTTATAAATGTTTGTGGGAATTCTCTACTGATTATTTCAAATTCCTCAGTGAAAAGCAATAAAAGGTGGTTGAGAAGGTGGAGGAAATTTGAGGAGAGCAGAAAAGTGTGAAATTATCATTTAGGAAAAATTCAATGAAATAAAGGCAAGTAGGATAACTGCCTAGCAGCATTAGGGGCCCAACTTGTCACAAATGGATAATGGGACAAATACACTTTGGACCAGACTCAGTCAGGTGCTCAGATGCAGAAACAGCAGAATTGCATTTATCTTGTATTTTGACTTTACTAAAAAATGCAAAGTGAAAGAACAGCAAAAGTTTTGAGGGTGTATGCAAGAAATTAGATAAGATTTAGATGAGTAGAGAGGGAAAAAAGGACATAAAAGAAATTGTATTACAGTGAAAAGATGACAGGATCATTGGATCATTACTAGACAGATTTCTATGTTTTGGAGAATTGGAAACTAGCTTGATAATTAGACACATCAGGACTGGAACTAGGTAAAAATTTAACTCTGTGGTGTGGTACTGTAGGATAAACACTGGACTGCTAACCACCGGTTGGTGGTTCAATCCCACCAGTCACTCCTTAGAAACACTATACAGTTGGAACAACACTAAATAATAAAAACAGCAACCATTAAGTTAAATTATATTTCAATGTAATATTTAAAATGAACAAAAATTCATGATGAGCAAAACATCAAAAATTTAAGTAAAGACAGCATATGTATTACTGATTTTTCCTTCTGTCTCAGACTCCACTACAGCTCTCATAGGCGTGCCCTCCATCCAGAAACTCCAAGTTGAAGGGGGAGAGATGTACACATGTAACAACACACTGGGAAAGTCCTGAGGAGCCCTGAGAAAGAAGAGAAGGCAAGGTTAGATGCTTCTTCTATGGGCAGATTCTAGGATCAGAATAGGTTTTTGATGGAAGAAATGCCTTAGGATTAAAGACTGCATTTTAAAAACCAAAACTTTTTTCAGATGAAGGAGGAGATTTGTGCACTTGACTTCCATTCTTACTTATTTAGCTACCTTTATCTGCAAGAAGAGTGCATGCAGTTGGTTCAGGGGAAAGCATTGACTTCAAACAAGAATACTGAGCATCTGGATTCTAGCTTTAATGACTTTCTGTAAGGAGTCCTTACCTATCCACACCTGGGTTGCTGTGGTTTAGTGACATCAAGCTGGTTCCGAGTCATACAGCCCTGTATACAGTTTCCGAGGAGCAGCTGTTGGATTTGAAATGCCAACCTTGCAGTTCAAACTGACCTTGTGGTCCAGTGCTTATCCTACAGAGCCATGCCCACATCTGTGGTGATCATTAAATGTGGCTGCTATTAGTATTGCATTAGGCAAATCTGCTGCACAAGGCCTCTTTAAAGTGTTCAAGAGCAAAGTGCGCCTGACCTAAGCCATGGTATTTTCAGTAGCCTCATATGCATTGTGAAAGTTGGACATTGAATAAAGAAGACCATAGAAGAATTGATGTATTTGAGTTATGGTATTGGAGAGGAATATTAAAGATACTATGGACTGCCAGAAGAACAAACAAATCTGTGTTGGAAGAAGTACAGTCAGAATGCTCCTTAGAAGCTAAGGTTGGTGAGACTTCATCTCTCATATTGGATCTATTATCTGGAGGGACCAATGCCTGGAGAAGGACATTATGCTTGGTAAATGGAAGGACAGTGAAAAAGAGGAGACCCCAATGAGATGGATTGGCACAGTTGCAGCCAACAATGGGCTCAAGTGTAGCAGGAATTGTGAGGATCTTGACGGACTGGGCAGTGTTTCTTTGTATTGTACATAGGATTGCTATGAGTAGGAACTGACTCAATGACACGTAACAACACAGCTAAGCAGCAGTAATCTAATATTTCTAGATGGAAGAAGGTTTTATTTTCAAATAAATTTTAAATGGCATTGTTATGGATTGAATTGTATCCAGAAAAATATGAGTTGGAATCCTTCTTCTACAAAACTCTTTAAAGTGTTAAAAACAAAGACGTAACTTTGAGGACTAAGGTGGGCCTGACCCAAGCCATAGGATTTTCAATCCTTTTATATGTGTGTGAAAGTTGGACAATGAATAAAGAAGACTGAAGAAGAATTGGTATATTTGAATTATGCAGTTGAAAAAGAATATTGAATATACCATGGACAGCCAGAAGAATGAACAAATTGTCTGGAAGAAGTACAGGCAGAATGCTCCTTAGAAGCAAGAATACTAGTTATCAATTGGGACCTTCCTGGAGAGGGATACCATGCTTGGTAAAATAGAGGGTAAGCAAAAAAGAGGAAGACCGTCAGTGAGACGGATTCACACAGTGGCTACAACAATGGGCTCAAATGTGGCAATGACTGTGAGGATAGCACAGGACTAGACAATGTTTAATTCTGTTCTACATAGGAACTCTATGAGTCAGAAGTGCCTCAATGGCACCTAACAACATACCTGTGGATTAGGATCTCATTTAGGAATAGGGGTTTCTGGGTTATGTTAGTGAGGCCATATCAGTGTAGGGTGTGTTAGAAATTCCATCACTTCTGAGATTAAAAAGAGTAGATTAGATGCAAAGACAAAGGAGCACATACCAAAGAAATGCTATCTGAAGACAACAAAGGCAGGTGAATATGCAAACAAGCCCAGGAACAAAGCTGAACCAGAGTCCTGGTGTAATGCTGTAGGATAGGCACTGGATTGCTAAGCACAAGGTCAGTGGCTCCAACCTCCAAGCTGTTCCTTGGAAACCCTAAACAGGATCCCTGTGAGTCAGAACTGACTCAGTAAGTAGAACTTAGCAATGACAAAGCTGAATTAGCCTCCTAAACTGAAAAAAAATACATTTCTGTTCTTAAATGTCATTTACAGAAGCAATACATGTTGACTACAATACATGTTGGAGGAAGTCCTTCAGCTGTCTTGGAAAGATGAGGCTGACACAGAATATTTCATTGTGTTGGAATTGCAGCTAGTCAAAAATTGAAATCTTTCCCTCTGGGGCAATTTTCTGTGGAGCCAAGCAATCTTCTCTCAGAGTGAGTTCCTCCATGATTGAAGGTCCGTAAACTATTGGATTTTAAATCCAGCAAAATATGGTTGGAATTACATTTTGATATGTTTTGTTTTATCTTGTCTGGAACATCAGAAATGAATTATTCATACTGAATTGTTATGTAACCAATCTGTTTCAGAAGGATGGTGGGCCATTCCAAGTTTCTACGCTAACTTGCTCCCACTCACCCCTGAATTGAGTCCAGTCTGTTTAAATGGTATTTTCAATATCCTCAAGACTTTCTGGTCACTTTTAGGTCAAGGAATCTGTGGCTTTCTATGTATGTATGGGGTGCTGATTCAGCTCTGTCTCTAACATGGCTCAGCTTGCATGTTCCGAAATGCTGAATGTGATGTGAAGAAGTTGTTACACTTGATAGCTGCTGAAGAGAAAGGTGATCCCAAACAATGTGAAGTGGGAAAGAAAGGTAAAAACCTGCTGGTAATGGAAACTATGAGTGACACAGAATAGAATAGAGCTTCATGTGACGTCTAATATATTCATTCTCCACAGATTTCCACTTCCTCTACCCCCAGGATGCTCGCTTAACAGACAACTGGGCACAGGGGGACAGCCACACTACCTGCCCCATTGTCTCCCTCTCCAGTGCCAGGGCACAAAGTGCGGAATGTCTCCTGAGCTCAGCAGGTTCACCTGAACAAGTCAACAAATGTCTTGGAATTAGTCCAAGATTTCCCTACCTGGTGCTTGTGAAAGAATTGGGAGCTGGAGGAATACCATTTGCTTTGCTATGATACATTGAGTTTTGATACTGTTGTTTCTAAGAATTGGAAAGTTTAAGGGAGAACAACAACCTTATCTCAACCATGAAAATATCCTGAAAAGGAAAGATTTATGATTGACTGATTCCAAAAAAGAAGCATTCTGCACCAGGCAGGTTTCCGTAGTGTAGTGGTTATCACATTCGCCTAACACGCGAAAGGTCCCTGGTTCGAGACCGGGCGGAAACACGCGGGCGAGTTATTTTACTAAATTCTGAATTTTGTTCCAGAAATTCATTTCAATATGCTTACGTTTCAACCAAGCTCTTGGTTTAGACTTCAAATAACAAAATGTAATTTAGGAGACCTTTCGCTTCTTTGCCCGTTCCGCCCCCAGCCAATGTCAGGCCCCCCATTGCTCATTGGGTTAGGCAAGATTCCGTACCCTCTACAGCGACCATGCTTTCGAGGAGGAGCTATCCCCAGAAGTTTCAGGCATTGAATTTAAAGTGAAGGGTCCTGCCACTAGCGTACGGCTGGTGTGTACCAGGAAGATCAAGAAACCAATTGTAACTGCAGCAGCGTGAGCAAGGGGGAGAGACGAGTTGTTAAGTGCCGTCGAGTCGATTCTGACTCAGAGCGACCTGTATAGGCTTTCTGAGGAGCGGCTGGCGAATTTGAATCGCCAGCCTTGCGGGTATCAAGAAGCGGTTCAAACCAACCTTGCGGTCTGATGCATTATCCAACAGCCTCACACCAGGAGCAGATAAATCAAGTGGAGGCTTGTTAAGTCATTTTTAAAGGTCATCTTTACGCTGATGAAATGAGGGTTGTAAGCAGTGAAGTAACGCCATGTGACTTAAGCTTTTTAAAAGGTTGACTCTGCTTGCTCTGTGGAGAATAATTTTGTTTACAGAGAAAAGACTAGAAGCAAGATACTGTATTAAATCCCTTTCCTCATACTACATATAAGAAATGAATTTGATGGTGGCAATCAAGGTATTGAGAAGCAGTCAGAGTCTGACTGAAGACTCTGATTTGAAGACAGAGCAAGAGAAATTCCTGACATATTGGATGTGAGGTGTGAAAGTGTGAAGTCAAGGCGGACTTTATATTTTTTATCTGAAAAACTGGAAGAAGTGAGTTGGCGTCGGCTGAAATGGTGAAGACTGGGTGTAGCAGAATTATTAGAGAAAATGGAGAATTCAGTTTTACACATGCTAACTTTTAGATGACTAGTATACAACATCCACTGGCAATGCCAAGGAATCAGTTGTATATACAAGTCTGAAGTTTAACAGAGTGGTCTACTCTGCTTTGTGGAATGAAATATATCCCCTCAAAATATGTGTCAATTTGACTTGGCCATGATTCACAGTGGTTTGGCAGTTACATATGATGTAGTTTGACAGTTTTATAATGATGTAATCATCCCCCAAGATGTGATCTGGTCCATGAGAGTAAGTAAAAAAGTATTGCTACAAAATCATAGAAACCCGTATTAAACAACAAAAAAATAAAAACGTGAAAATACCATTTCTTGATACAAGATCCATCTTTGTCTAGACACTTCTAAAGGCAGAGTTTCCATCTCTCTCACCCTTCCCAGAAGAATTCTGTACTCTTCTATTTACACCACATCAAAACAGCAGTTTTGGCATTCTTGACCAACCTAATTCATGCTACTTTTAAATGTTCTTTGAGTATTGGGGGACGGGGGGAGTATGGAGGGGAAAGATCAGGGCTGTAGGGTAGATGGAGTAAGGTTTACCAGGACAATCCTTGTAGGACAGCCCTTGCTACCCTCAAAGAATGAGTAGGTGCATTGTCATATGGGGGAAAAAATTCCTCAGCTCAACTTTTCTGGCCTTTCTCTTCCAATGCAGTTTTCAATTTCTTAAAAACTTCCTAATAAGCTCTGTGATTGTTCTGTGTCCTTCAAGAAAGATTACCCTTTTGGAATTCCAAAAAACAGTTGCCATAACTTTCTGAGCTGACTTCTCTGACTGGACATTGGACCTTTTTTTTTTTTGAAGGCACCCTAAAAACCAAGACAAATGTATTACTGAAAGAATTTAACTCTTGACTACAGCCATTTACTAACCACGGAGACATGCTTAAATACATTTTGCTTGGAATTTACAGGTGCATGTATAAACTTGAACTCTGGTAGGAATAGTTTGTTTTTTACTTACCCTCATAATTATCCTCCATTTGTGATCTACTACAAATCCTGATCTCTATTTGTTAATGAGGTAGGATTAAGGTATATCTATTGTGTTAATGAGGCAGAATTTAGGTGGGGTGCAACACCCTTGCTCAGGTCCCAGTCCCAGTCCCAGTCCCATGTGACGGGAATTTCCCTGGGGTGTTGCCTACAACACCTTTTATCTTACAAGAGATAAAAGGAGGGGAAAACAAGCAGAGAGAGAGAGGAACTTCAGTGCCATCAAGAAAGAAAAGCCAGAAGTGAATTGAGTCCTTTGGACCGTGGCTCCCTGTGCAGAGAACCTCCTAGACCTAGAGCAAGATTGATGGCAAGATGCATGAAAATCTCCAAGGGACTCCAGGCCTACTGATGTTGAAAGAAGACAAGGAGTTTCTCCCAGAGTTGACAGAGACAGAAAGTCTTCCCTCAGATTTGGACTTCTAATCTTTTAAATTGTGAGAGAATAAATTTCTGTTTGTTAAAAGTTGATCCACTTGTGGTATTTCTGTTATAGCAGCACTAGATAACTAAGGCAATTGTAGATAAAAATTTGCAAGTTGTATGTATATAAACCATTACTGTTAGCTGGGTTGCAGACTGAAAAGTCAGAATTTCAAACCCACCAGACATTCTACGGGAGAAAGCTGTGAAAGACTATCTCTATAAAGATTACAGCTTTAGAAACTCAGTAGGGTAGTTCTGTCCTATAGGGTTGCTATGAGATGATGTAGGGATCTAGATGAGCATGGGTAAGATTACCAAGTAGTGACTGCATATAGAAAAGAAGTTCAAGGACCATTCAAGAGATAAGCTATTACAGGAAAAGTGGATGAGCGGAAGAGAAACAAGCAAAAAATATGAAGGATGAACCAGTGAGGTAGAAAGGCAGTCAGGACAGCAGTACCTTGGAAGTCAAATGAAAAGAAAATTAAAGTGAATGTGTTTAATGACACTGAGATGTTGTCTTAGTTTCTTAGCACTGCTGTAACAGAAATGCCACAACTAGTTTTTTTAAGGAACAGTTTCTACAGCTGGAGAGTTCCTCAATTTCTTGGTGCTCCTTACATGTGCTTCTGTCTTTCCCAGTTTGTATTCCTTTGTCATAGTGCCTAATCTGTTGCATTTAAGACTTACCCTACACTGATATGAACTCCTGATGTGGCACTATAGGATACATACTGAACTGAGAACCACAAGGTAAGCCGTTCAAACCCACCAGCTGCTCCTTGGAAACTGTGTACAGGGTCGCTATGAGTCAGACTCAACTCAATGGCACTTAACAACAATAGCAACACACTGATATGGCCTGAGCAATATAACAAAGAAAACCTTATTCCCAAATGAGATTACAGCATAGGTATATTGTTGTTGTTCCTTTCCAGTCAGTTGCAACTCATCATGATCTTATGCACAACAGAATGAAACACTGCCTGAGCCTGCGCCACCCTCATAATCATTGTTAAGCTTGAGCCCATTGATGCAGTCACTGTGCCAATTCATCTTGCTAGGGATCTTCCTCTTTTTCACTTTATCAAGCATGATGTCCTTCTCCAGGGACTGGTCCCTCCTGATAATATATCCGAAGTATGAGGGACAAAGTCTTGCCATTCTGGCTTCTAAGTAGCTTTACTTCTTCTAACACAGATTTTTTGTTCTTCTAGGAGTCCACAACATTTTAAATATGCTTCTCCAACACCATAACTCCAATGCAACAATTCTTCTATGGTCTTCTTTATTTAGTGTCCAGCTTTCAGGTGCATATGAAGATATTGAAAATGTCATGGCTTGGGGTCAGGTGCTCCTTTGTCCTTAAACTGCTCTTGAACACCTTAAAGAGGTTTTGTTCAACAGATTCGCCTAATGCAATATGTCATTTGACTTCTTGACCGCTGCTTCCATGAGTGTTGATAGTAGACCCAAGCAAACTTAAGTCTTGACAACATCAGTCTTTTCTCTATTTATCATAATGTTATCTATTGGTTCTTTTGTGAGGATTGTTGTTTTCTTTACATTGAGGTGTAACCCATACTGAAGGGTGTGCTCTTTGATCTTCATCACTAAGTATTTTAAGTCCTTTTTGCTTTCAGTAAGCAAGGTTGTATCATCTGTATATCGCAGGTTGCTGAGTCTTCATCCAATCTTTCCTCTAAACCATGTTCCTCTTCAATCCTGAAGTCATGTTTTTATTCATATAATTATGTTTCTCGGATTATTTACTCAGTGTAAAGATTGAATAAATTAGGAATGGTGAAAGAATGCAAACCTGGTTCTCACCTTTCCTAATTTTAAACTATGCAATGTTCCCTGTTCTGTTCAAATTATTGTGTTTTGGTCTATCAATAGGTTCCTCATAAGCACAATTAATTGTTCTGGAATACTAATTTTCCATAATGTTGTCCACAACTTGTCATTATCCACATAGTCAAAAACCTTTGTATAGTCAATAAAAAACAGGTAAACATCTTTCTGGTATTCTCTGCTTTCAGCCAAGATTCATCTGATGTCAGCAATGATATCACTAGTTCCACATCCTCATCTAAATCCAGCTTGAACTCTGGCAGTTCCCTGTCAACATACTGTTGCAGATGTTCAGCAAGAATTTACTTGCATGTAATATTAATGATATTGTCCGACAATGACCACATTCTGTTGGGTCACTTCTCTTTCAAATGGGCACAAATATGGACCTCTTCCAATCAGATGGCCAGGTAGTTGTCTTCCAAATTTCTTGGCATAGATGAGTGAGTGCCTCTGGTGCTTCCTCGGTTTGTTTGAAAGATTTCAATTTGTATTCTAGTACTTTCTGGAGCCTTGTTCTTTGACAATGCTTTAGTGCATGTTGTATTTCTTCCTTCAGTACCATTGGCTCTTAATCATATGCTATCTCTTGAAATGGTTGAATATGGACCACTTCTTTTAGGTACAGTGACTCTGTGTTCCTTCCATCTTCTTTTGATGCTTTCTGCATCATTCAATATTTTGCCCATAGAATTCTTCAATATTTCAAATCAAGGCTTGAATTTTTTTCTTCTATTCTTTCAGCTTGAGGAATGCTTAGTCTGTTCTTCCCTTTGGCTTGCTAACTCTAGGTTTTTGCACATTCTATTATAATATTTGATTCTCAGGCTGACCTTTGAAATTCTCTGTTCAGCTCTTTTAACTTCTTCATTTTTTCCATTAGCGTTAGCATCTCTACACTGGAGAATAGGTTTCAGAGTCTCTCCTGACATCCATTTTGGTCTTTTCCTTCTTTCTTGTCTTCTTAATGACTTTTGCTTCCTTCATGTATGATGTTCTTGATGTCATCCCACAACTCTTCTGGTCTTTGGTCATTAGTGTTTAATGCATCAAATCTGTTCTTGAGATGATTTCTAAATTCAGATGGGATATGTTTAAAGCCATAGTTTGGCTCTCATGGACTTGTTTTAATTTTCTTCAGCTTCAATTTGAATTTGCATATGAACAATTGATGGCTTGTTCTACAGTCTGCCCCTTGTGTTGTTTTGGCTGATGAAATGGAGCTTTTCCACCATCTCTTCCCACAGATGTAGTCTATCTAATTTCTGTGCATGACATCTGATGTGGACCATGTGTATAGTCTTCTTTTATGTTGTTTAAAAAGGTATTTGCAATGAAGAAGTCATTGGTCTTGCAAAACTATATCATGCAGTCTCCAGCATCATTTTGATCACCAAGGCCATGTTTTCCAACTACTGATCCTTCCTCTCCTTCTTTTGAGTCTGTCTTAGCCTTGAAGCTCAGCTGAAAACTGTCCACCACGTGTGTACACTACTGGTACTTAAAATACCAGTAGTATAGCTTCCAGACTCACAGCAACACACATGCCACCACAGTACAACAATCTGACAAATGAGTGGCGGTCCACAGGTATAGGGGTTTAGATCCCAACACATATTTTGGAGGGCCACAGTTCAATCCATAACAGAAGTCAACAAAGATAAGGTCTTGAAAGAATGATGAGGTCATTGGTGAACCTGACCAGAAGTTTCCATGAAGTGGTAATGCCAAAATCCCAAAATGTAGGGATGGTTAAATCTTGGCAAATCTTTGTGCTATTGTTAAGTGCCCTAGAGGCAGTTCCAACTCATAGTGGCCCTGTATAGGGTTTCCAAGGAGCAGCTGGTGGATTTGAACTGTCAACGTTATGGTTCACAGTCCACTGCTTATCCTACAGCACCACACCAAGAGTCTTGATAATTCCTTAGAGGCTATATTTTATAAAGTAATCTGAGAAATAGTAGGGTAGTAGCTAAAGGGAAATGTTGGTCAAGAAAAACCTTTCTAAGCTAGGGGGAGACAAATAGTATATTTGAGTGTTCATAGGAATAACATGATATGAGAACATTGAAAGGTTTCAAACATTCATGCCACAAATATTGTTAAATGTGTGCTCTGACTTTGGCACCATTCTAGGTCCTGGGAACCCAGGGAGGGGAAAATCTGTCTTCATGGACAGAAATGATAGTGGAAGCCAGTTGATTGTTTTTAGGAAAATACGTATTTTGTCTGTATTTTAACTATTAGAAATACCAATTTCAACAGGACGAAAGGACAGTGCAAGGGGTCAGGAGATACCAAGCAGAGAAAATGCTTCATGTCACACCCGACGCCATGTGATGGACCATGAAAAAATGGACAGGGAGAACGAGATGCTTAGATGAGTAGTGGGCATCAGACCCCCCCGCCCCATCTCTACAACCATTCTTCTTCATTGAAATGTCTCATAGTTTTACGTCATTTATTCAAAAATATCATTAATGTTTTTCTCTCCGCCCCTGTTAGAAGAGGAACAAATAGAATATATGTCACTTGTTGTTGTTAAATGCTGTCCAGTCGATTCCAACCCATAGCGACCCTGTATAGGATTTCCGAAGAGAAGCTGGTGAGCTTGAACCGCCGACCTTGCAGTTCAAACGGCTTTGCAGTCTAGCGTACTAACCCACAGCGCCACACCAGGACTCCTGGTGTCACTATTGAGGATTAAAGAAATAAAACTGATATTTTATCCAGGTTGTATGCCAGAGACGCCATTTTCCAAAGTGCAGCAAGATGTAAAGTGACTACAAGATTATAAATCCTTTGTTGTTAAAAGATACGTGTTGGCCCGTACGGGGATCGAACCCGCGACCTTGGCGTTATTAGCACCACGCTCTAACCAACTGAGCTAACCGGCCACCTGTTAGCAACCATTTTTATTTTGAGAAAGTAGTAAGTATGTTGACGCCTTCCTTCATTCCCCCAAGAAAATTTCATTTATATAATTTTAACTATAATTAAATAACACTTTTTTTTTCCCAGCTTATTTTTATGTTTTATACTTCCCTTTTCCTCACTCCGGGCGGGGAGGGGGGCATAGAAACAAAGAGAAAAACTCTAACTCTAGCAGAAATGGACTTCGTTCCTCAGTTGGAAAGTAAAACTTTCTAGAGCTTGTGTATTTCTTCTCAAGAGAAACCTTCACTAGAGAGGACTCCATCCTATTCCAGGAAGCCTTTGAGAAGTATCCAGAGTCCCCCAGGAAATATCTTGTCAATTTGGTCGCTGCTTAGCACGTGAGGATTTCCCTCCAGATGGGAAAGAAGACACCCCTTCCCACTCATTGGATCTGCCCAGCCTACTCATAAATACTAAGTACGATGGCCCTTCACTGTGGCGAAAACGCCCTGCGGTGTGGATCTCTGTTGGTTCATTTAGTGATTTTATTGTCATTAACTGCTTTAAACATTATGCTAAGTTAAAGAAACCAGATATTAAAAGCATGTATTAAAAGCTTTCATTTATATGAAATGTCCAAAAAAGACATAGAGACAAAGATTAGTGGCTGTTGGGGACTTGGGGTGAGAATGGGACTTGACTGAAAATGAGCATGAAGGAATTGTGGTGATAGTTGGACAAATCTGTAAATTTACTAACAATCACTGAACCACAAAATTAAGAATATGTGAATCTTATTGTGGAATTTATATGTGAATTTTATAGCTCAGTAGGATTGTTAAAAATAATGATTTCTAGAGTTTTCCATTATACATTCCCAACACTTGCTATTGTTTGTCATTTTTATCATCGATAAAAATGGGCAGAAGAAATAGGGATAAGTATTGGGCTGCTGGAGTCCTGGTGTGCACTGTGGGTTAACGCACCTTTTGAACTGCAGCTCCTTGGAAACCCTGTACAGGGTCACTATGGGTTGCAATGGACTCAACAGCACTTAACGACGTCAGTTCAAACCCACCAGCCACTCTTTGGAAATCCTATACAGGGCCGCTATGAATCAGAACTGAATCAACAGTACTTAACAACAACAGCAAGGTAAAAAGAGGAAGACTGAAAGACAGTGAAAGGATACTGAGGGACAGAGTGAAGGCAGCCTGAGAAAGAGGACAAGAAGGGCAGAGAGAGGAAACTGGATATTCCAGTGCTACATCAGCAGGCTTCTACATAGACTCAGGCTTCCCTGTCCCGCTTTATCAGTACCCACTGACGCTTGACCTGCCCTAGAGGTGTCTGAAAAGAAACCTGAACTCCCGATGAAAGATGATGTATTTAGAGCCTAGCCTCTGAGGACATGATAAAGGTTCCTAGTGGACAGGGAAGAACAGAGCACTTAAAGTCCTTACACAGAGGACTGAACAGGATGGCCATGGGACCTGCCATGTGGCTGTGTTTTCTGCTCCTGGTTTTCTTCTCTGGGCCCTCCAGTTCAGGTAGGAGGAAGAGGCAGGCAGGGTGAGCTAATAGGGCCTGGCCTGACTTCCTTCTCTCTGTGTCCCAGTCTCCCTTCTTAGGCGCCTGGGTGAACACACTCAGCAGCTTATGGAGAGCTCTGAACAAAGTCTAGGGCTGAAGTTGGGCCCTGGTGATGTGTCTCTCCCAAAAGAGGGCTGGCTGGAGCAACCACTGGACCCCTTTAATGCATCTGACAGAAGAGTCTTCCTTCAGGTGAGGCCAGGAGCAGGGGAGAATCCATCGCCTCCTCTGCCCTCTCACTGATGGGTCCTCAGTCTCCTCTTCACTTGGTTATTCAGTCTTCTCTCTCTTGGTCGCTCAGTATCCATCACTCTCTATCTTTCAGTATCTCCACTTTCTCCTTCAGTTGCCACTTTCTTTCCCTCACTCTTCCCTTCTCTTTTTACCACAGACTCTCTGAATTCATCCCTGCCCATATGCTCACCACCACCCCAAAGAATACTCTGCCCACGTGTGCAAGTCCTTCCTTTTCCTAGGCCATGCCAACTGCTTCCTGCCTCAGGACCTTATCCTTGATGTCCCCTCCATCTGGTGTTTCACTTCTCATTACCTTCTGACTTTGACTTCAGGTTTCAGCTGAAAGATCCCCTGTGCACAGGGTCTTCCCTGGCCATGCCATATAACCCCTATACACATTTTCCACTGCACTATTTCTTCCTGATACTCATTACCAGAAAGTGTTTTACTATATTTATTGCTTAGTTTTTATTGCCTGCTTCCTTTTCTAGACTGTGATCTCAAAGAAAGCAATTGTCACAGCTTTGATTCTGGTTGCTTCTTCCAGTTCCTAATATAGGGACTGACACACAACAGGCATGTGAAAACAACTACGGAATGAATGAACAAATTTCCTGTCTTTCAGTGCGTACTCTATACAGTCTCCAGAGGTCACCCCACCTAGGACTTATTCCCGAATCTATCCATATTTACTATTTCGATAATAGCAAGTGCCAGCCACTCTCCTTCACCCTGGGGATATCAGAGTTAAAAGAAGAAGGCAATTTCTAGATGAGATAAACAGAAAGGAAATGAACACAAGTAAACAAGTTCTAAGTATGCAAAGAAAGCTTTGTTAGGCTGGGGGATTGGGAAAAATAGGTCAGGGTTCTCACAATGGCATTTCTTTTTCCCCATTCCACCTGTTAGCGGTACTGGGTGAATGATCAATATTGGACTGGCCAGAATGGACCTATATTCCTGCATCTAGGGGGTGAGGGCAGCCTTGGACCTGGCTCAGTGATGAGAGGTAAAAGGGAAAAGCTATGGCTGGGGAAGCTGGGGGGGCTAGGAAGGGGAATTGCAGATTACAGTGCTGTGAGGCCTTTGGTGAGTAAGGACTTATACCAGCTCGCATCTCCCCCTACCTCCTGCATTCTTCATAGGTCACCCTGCATCGCTGGCCCCAGCATTGGGGGCCCTGGTGGTAGGTCTGGAACACAGATTTTATGGTCTGAGCATACCTGCCGCAGGCCTGGACATGGCCCAGCTCCGGTTCTTGTCCAGCAGACATGCGTAAGTGGGAGTAGAAAAAGTCTTTGAGCTCCCAGAACTGGAGATGTGTATCTCTTGGCATTTCTGCATCTGTGTCTCTCTCCCCTACTGATCAAAGTCTATTTCTGAGTCTCTGTTTCCCTCTGATGTTTTCTCTCTTTTTCATGGTGTTTTAGTCTGTCTTTCTTTCTCCCTATCTGTGTCGTTCTCTTACATTATATTGTGTCTATTTCTGTCTCATTGTCTAAAGTAGACTACTGTCTCACTGTGGCTAACTGGTCCAATCCATCAACATCTTTTACCTGGATTTCAGCCTCCTCACTGGTTTCCCTGCTCCTGTCCTTGCCCACTTCACTCTGTTCTCTACAGTGAATCCAGGGTGGTCCTGTTAGACTGGAAAATAGCTTGTGATCCTCCCTAGTTCAAATCCCTCCAGGTGACTTCCTGTCCTCCACTCTCTCAAATACATAGAACTCCAGCTACAATGAGATCCTTGATAGTCTTCAGATTTAGAGGCACATTCTTGTCTTAAACCTGTGAACTCTAGCCTCTGGAGTAGGCTTCCACCTTCATCTTCTTCAAAGCACTCTACTCATATTAATACCCCCCTCCACACACACACATTATTTCTTTATCCCACTCATCCTGCTTTATTGTTCTTCATAGCACTTACCTCTTTCTCTCTTCTGCTTGATGTCTGTCTCAGTTTCTGACTTTCTGATTCTGTCTCATTCTTGTCTCCATCGCTCTTTGCTTCTATATCTCTATCTCTTTCTTTCTATCACAGTCTTTTCCACAAGCTAGACTGTTTACAAATTGCAGCAGGATGACATTAACTGCAAACCATTTCAGAAACGCTGGGTAAAAAGTAGGACGTATCCCCAAACCTATCACCTTTTCCCGATTCCTGTCTCCCTTCTACAGTTTCTAACCTATCTAGACTATTATCCATTCTTTTCCTCTTTCTCCTCCTAGACGTCCTCTTTGGTCATCTTCCCGCCCCCATCTCTGTCATTGAAGGAGGACAGAGAATTCCAGAGCGCAGTTAGGGTCTCCAGGGTGGAGAATCATCATTCTATAGGAGTCCCAAAAGTCCAGGCTTCTGGCCAGACTGAATCTACGGTTTCCTGCCTGTACAGTGGGGGATCTTCCGGGATTCCCAGGGATTAAGATCAACCGATCCTTCTTTCTGATCCCAGGTTGGCTGACATGGCTTCTGCCCATCTTGCACTCTCCCGCATTTTCAACGTCTCTTCCTCCAGCCGTTGGATCTGCTTTGGAGGCTCCTATGCTGGCTCCCTGGCCGCTTGGGCTCGGCTGAAGGTCCCCGGGCTCATAGCGCGTGTTGGGGATGGGGCGGGGGTGGGTGGGTGTCAGGGAGCTCAGATTTGAGGATTCCGATCTCAAATAATAGAAACACCCTACCTTTCCATCCCAGAAAAACTTTCCGTATGCTATCTTCACATGAAAACAACCAAAATAGTTAGGGGTTTGTCTGAGATCACTCAATGAGTCAGGAACACAACCGGGATTCCAACCTAATGTTTTTCTCCTCCCTCAGTTTCCCCATCTCATTTTCGCCTCTGTTGCCTCTTCTGCCCCGCTGCGCGCCGTGCTGGACTTCTCGGAGTATAATGCCGTAAGGATGGCAAGCGACTTAAGCGGGAGGAGAAGGGTCCCAGTAGTTGGGGTCCACAGATACTTTCTCCCGCGGTCTGTCCACAGGTGGTGTCCAGAAGTTTAATGAGGACAGCCATTGGTGGGTCTCTGGAGGTAAGATGTGGGGTTTTTCCGAGGTGACCCGGGCGAGAAGCCCGGAAGGGAGAGAAGAAAGGCAAAGCCTACAAGAGAAACAATGTCTAGCGACTCCGCCAGCCCTGGGAAGTGGGCGTGTCCCGGAAGAAGGCGGGATCTAATGTAGAATGGGGCGGGGCAAGTAATGGGAGGAGTCCAGATAGAAAAGGGGGGGGTCATCAGGGCCAATCCTATAGGGAGGGTGGAGCTCAGTGTGGGCGGTATCAAGAAAGAGTGCTGACCTCGGGGTTGGTCAGTCCTTGGTGAAATCGGAGCTCCGGAGACCCTGCCCTGGAAAGGGCAAGGTGACTCGCAGACTTCCGCCGTCATCGGCCTGGACTGGGTCTTCGCTGAAACCACCTCTTGCTCTCCGCAGTGCAGGACCGCGGCGTCCGCTGCTTTCGCGGAGGTGGGACGGCGACTGCGCGCAGGCGGGGCGGCCCAGGCGGCGCTGCGAGCGGAGCTGGGCGCGTGCAGCCCCCTGAGCCGCACTGAGGACCAGGCGATGCTGCTGGAAGCGCTGCAGGCTCTAGTGGGCGGCACGGTGCAGTACGACGGGCAGGTGGGGGCGCCATTGAGCGTGCGGCAGCTCTGTGGACTTCTCGCGGACGGGGGCAACCGCAGCCGCACCGCGCCCTATCGCGGGCTGCGCCGAGCTGTGCAGGTGAGAACCCACCGGCGCAACCAAGACGAGTCCGCAGAACAGGTTTTCTGCTTGAGCAAGCAAGAGCCTTCTTTGAGATTTTGTTTGTTGTTGTTCAGTGCCATAGAGACCCTGTATAGGTTTTCCAAAGTAGTAGGTTTGAAGCGCCGACTTTGTGGTTAGCAGTCTGGTGCTTTATCCTACTGAGCCACACCAATTGTTGTTAGGTCGACCCATAACGACCCTGTATAGGGTTTCCGAGGAGTAGCTGGTGAGCTTGAACTGCCGACCTTGCAGTTCAAACGGCTTTGCAGTCTGGCACATCAACCCACAGCACCACACCAAGATTCTAGTTTACTCACCGGTGAAATAGGAATGACACAGTGCCTTCAGTAAGGTGAAATGAGGTGGGATATGTAAGGAATTCATCTGGCAGCCCGACTCACAGTATGCACATTTTAATTACTAACTATGACTATTATCTACAATGATTTTACCAGTTTATTATCCACAATCAATACTCATGGAAGCAGCAGTCAAGAAACCCACCAACGTATTGCATTGGATAAGTATGCTGCAAAAGACCTAAGGATGTCACTCTGTGGATTAAGGTGCTCCTGACCCAAGCCATGGTATTTTCAATGTGAAAGTTGGACGATATAGAAGGAAGATAGAAGAAATGATGCATTTGAATTATGGTGTAGGTGAAGAAGTTAAAAGTACTGTGGACTGCCAGAACAAACAAATCTGTCTTGGAGGAAGTACAGCCAGAATGCTCCATAGAAGTGAGATGGCATGACTTTGTCTCATGTAGTTTAGACATGTTATCAGGAGGGACCAGTCCCTGACAAAAGAACATCATATTTGATAAAGTAGAGGGTCAGTGAAAAAGAGGAAGACCTTCAATAAGATGAACTGATACAGTGGCTGCAACAATGCGCTCAAACAAATGCGAGGATGGTGCAGGACCAGGCAGTGTTTCATTCTATTGTGCTTGGAGTAGACTCAACGGCACCGGCACCTAACAACATTATTATCTAGTGTTATCTAGTTTATTTGTTCTTTCTTGGGCCAGCAGCAGTGTTGAACTGATAGCTGTTGTTGTTAGGTGCCATTGAGCTGGTTCTGATTCATAGTGACCCTATGCATAATAGAATGAAACACTACCAGAACCTGTACCATCCTAACAGTTGTTATATTTGAACCCATTGTTGCAGCCACTGTGTCACTGTCTGGGGCAGAGATGTTTAAGGGATTCCTTAGCAAAGACAGTGGCCCTTCTGAGGGACACAGAACCTCAAGTATCTGTCATAGATGATCAAAAGAAGAGAATACTGCTGAGCCCTGCACCATCTTCATGAATGTTGCTGTTTGAGCAGATCATTGCAGCTGCTGTGTCAATCCTATTTTACATCATCAAAGGTCTTCCTCTTTATGCTAACCCTCTACTTTACCTAGCATGATGTTCAGGGACTGGTTCCTCTGATAACATGTCCAAAGATGAAGTCTTGCCATCCTTGCTTCTAAAGAGCATTCTGGTTGTTCTCCTTCCAGATTTGTTTGTTGTTAAGGCAGTCCATAGTATATTCAATATTCTTTACCAACACTATGATTCAAAGGCATCAGTTCTTTTTTGGTCTTCCTTGTTCGTTGTTCAGGTTTTGCATGCATAGGAGACAATTGAAATACCATGGCTTGGGTCCAGAGCCTCTTAATCCGTAAAGTGACATCTTTGCTTTTGAATATTTCAAAGAGATCTTTTGAAGCATGCTTGCCCAATACAATGCATCATTTGGTTTCTTAACTGCTACTTCCGTGGGTGCTGATTGTGGACCCAAGTAAAATGAAACCCTTGATAACCTCACATAGCAAGTGTTCCATTATTTGTAGAATGAATTAAAAATGTAGCCCTGTAGGCAGAGTTCTCTTAAGGACCTGGACCCCCAGGCTTGGAATCCAGCTGCCACTCTTTGAGCCAGGTGTCAGGCTAAGCGCTTCACTTATATTATTTCAATGACTTATCACAGTAGTTCTTGAAGATAGGCACCATTATCACCATTTACAGATGAAGAGGCACCCTAAGCAGCTCAGTGGTTAAAGCACTCTGTTGCTAACTGTTCCAACCCACCAGCCACTCCTCAGAAGAAAAGATATAAAAATTTACAACCTTGGAAACTACAGTTCTGCTCTGTCCCATAGGGTTGAGATAAGTCAGAGTTGACTGGACAGCAATGGGTTTTTAGATTTTTACTATAGATGAGGAAATTGAGATCCAAGACATTATTACTTACTCAAGGTCTCTTGGGTCATAGGATCTCAGTCATGTAATACTCTAACCCATAGGGACCCAGGAATTCACACTTTTGACTATTCTATTTGTCTTGTGGAGGTCCAAGTCTATAGCCTCTGGTCTAACCTGGGGGTAGGGGCAGGGCAAGGGTGTGTATATGTTTATGTATATTTGTATATTGTCCTCAGATTGTCATGCACAGCCTGGGACAGAGGTGTTTAAGTACTTCCCGAGCAGAGACAGTGGCACAGCTGAGGGACACAGAACCTCAAGTGTCTAACTTTGGTGATCGACAGTGGTTATACCAGACATGTACTGAGTTCGGCTTCTGTGAGTGAATGGTCCAACCTCTATTCCCAAAACATATATCCTGTGCTGTACCCAGATGCGCCACCTCACAGTTGGTCTGAGCTCATTATTATTTCCAAAGGCAAACCAGTCCAAATCCTGGGCCTTGGAGAGCCTGCCGGTATGGGACTGGAGGGCAGACAGCCCTACTAGTATGTGTATGTGTGCTTGACCTTCACCTGCTTCTTCACACGCATGTTCAGACCTCAACGTTCATGAGCTTCCCTTCAATCTGTCTTCTTCTGTCCCCATCCCAAGGATGACCTCACCTGGCTAAACACCACGATATTGTTTTAAATGCACCTTCCATTACCCCTATAGCCAGTCAGTTACTGAATCCTGCCCATTCTGCATGCCAAATAACTGTCTAGTCCTCTTCTTCCTCTTCCTATCCCCACAGTTATGGTAGAGGTGCCCTGCCTGTACCCTGCCTCAGCCTCCTTCCTGATCTCTAGGTTTTCACTTCACCTCTCCAGCCCACAGTGTCTAGAGAGATCTTTTAAAATATGACCTTGTCTCTTCTTGCCTCAAAAATGCTTACATGGCTCACCATTGACCCCAAGGTAGGATTGTTGTTGAGTGTTGTTGAGTCAGTTCCAACTCATAGGGTTTCCAAGGAGCAGCTGCTGGAGTTGAGCAACCAACCTTGTGGTTAGCAGTCTTGTGCATATCCTGCAGTGTCACACAGGACTCCAAGGTAGGGTAGCCAGAAAAAATACAAGATACCCATTTAAATCTGAATTTCAGATAAGTAATAAGTAACTTTTTAGTAGAAGTACATTTCAAATATTGCACAGGAAACATTTATATTTTAAATGTATTACTCTTTTTTAAATCTAAAATTCAGTTTTAACTGTACATCCTGTATTTTTATTTGCTAAATCTATCTACAGTAAAGTTCAAAATCCCCTAGAGGCAGTGAGGATGATGGTTTAAAGCAAAAGGTTCAAATTCTAACTCTACCATTTCCTAGCTCTGTGGCCCTGAGCAAATTTGGGTTCATGATTTACCTTCTGTCTCTGTTTCCACATCTTAAAATGTGGGTAACAGTGCTTCTCTCATAGGGTTGCTTAAGGATTAAAGGAGGTAATCTGTATTCACATGCTTAGAATAATGCTAGTATACATTAAGTACTCTGTAAATGCATGCTCTGGTAGCGTAGTGGTTACAAATTGGGCTGCGAACCACAAAGTCAGCAGTTTGAAACTACCAGCTGTTCTGCGGGAGAAAGATGAGGCTTTCTGCTCCCAAAACCCATACAGGGTCACTATGAGTCGGAAGCGACTCCACGGCACATAACAACAACAACAACAACTATTATTATCAGGATTTACATATTTTAACCCTCTAATAAGTCATTCTTTCTAACATCTCAGAGACTCTGCTCCCTTTGTTTGCATGACTCATCTTGCCCTCTTGAGACAGTTAACTCATTTTCAAGTCTCATAACATAATATACCCCCTGTTCAGGAAGCTTCCTGATGGCTCAGTCTAAATTTCATACACCCACAACATCTGCTCATTCTTTTCCTTAGCACTTTCCACAGTCTGTCATCATTTGTTCTTTATCGTCTAACGGGACCACAAGAGCCTGAGGCTGTCTTGATTGTCACTGTGTGCCCAATGTCTATCATATAGCACATAGTTGTTATTGTTAAGTGCTGTTAAGTTGGTTCTGACTCACAGACACCCTGTATATAGGGTTTCCGAGGAGTGGCTGGTGAGTTTGAACCGCCAACCTTGCAGTTCAAACCGACCCTGCAATCCAGCACATTATCCTGCAGCATGCTAAATAAAAGGTGAAGGGAGGAAATATGTGAAGCTAAGGAGATTAGATTTACCCTGAAAGTACACACAAACTTTAGCTTTCATGCAGAAGAGATGTGGTCTGATTTGTGCTTTGTGTAGTCCAGTCTCTCACCTCCAGATCTTTGCACATGCTATTTCTTCTATTTATTATGCCTTTTCTCTTTTCTGTTTTTGCTTGCCTCACTCCTACTAATTTCTTAAGAGCTTATTTATTGCAAGACTTCCCTAAACCCCTCATGCTCCCTGAACCCTGGCCTTACTCCATCACAGCCCTAATCACCACAAGCTTTCATTGACTGGGGATGTGTCTGTAGCTCTCATTGGATGAAGAGATCATTGAAAGGAGGGGCGTGTTTTTCTTAGTCATTACTAGGGTGAACTTTGTAAATTATTTTTATATGACAGTGGGGAGGAGGGAGTGCTGATATATTCCCACAAACTTATAAGTATCTCCCTCCACAGATGTCACCTGTGAGGATCCTGACTGCCCTTTCTCGCAGCTCCCAGCACTGCCCTCCCAGCTAGGTCTGTGTGAGCAGGTGTTTGGTCTCTCAGCGTCATCAGTAGCCCAAGCCGTGGCCCAGACAAATTCTTACTATGGTGGCCAGACCCCGAGGGCCACCCAAGTGCTGTTCGTTAATGGTGAGCATGCCACCAGAACCTGACTTCTAAGCCTCCACTCATCCCCCATTCAATACACCACCTTCTCCTTTTCAGGGGATGCAGACCCCTGGCATATGCTGAGTGTCACACAGTCCTTGGGACCCTTTGAGTCAGCCCTTCTCATCCCAAATGCCTCCCACTGCTTGGACATGGCACCTGAGAGACCCTCAGACTCCCCCAGCCTTCGCCTGGCTCGCCAGGTGAGAGAAGGAAAGCTCTGCATAATTTGTGTTTTATTGGCATGTTAATTTACATGCCTCTGCCTTGTGCTAGATAGAGCTAGTGTCTGACTTTCAAAATTCTCTCTATCTTCCCATAGGAGATCTTCCAGCAGCTGCAGACCTGGCTCAGGCTGGCAAATGAAAGCCAGGGTAGGGATGGGGCCTGAGGCTCATGCCCTTGCCATTCCCTATATGGCCGCTTCAGTCATGGACACATTCTTTCATTCACTCATTCAACAGCTTGTTTTGAAGAAGGAAATTCCTAGGAATTAGGAATCATCGTCTGTTCTTCATACAATTGACTCTCGTCTGCAAACATCTGCACTCCCAACTAGAAAGTGCCTATTATAAAGAGTTATGAAAATATAAGTTGATTAGTCTCATGATAAACTTGGTATTTTTGATGTCAGAATTCAAAGAACTGTGACTCCTTGTGCTGGTGTCCTTCCCCTGCTAATCAGCTCCTGGGCTGTGTTCCTTGAAGTGTCTCTCTCGGAATTTCAGACACTGACCCGGTCTCTGCCATCTCATACCTTCACGTTATCATCCCTCCACTATGGAAAACTTTTTAACAGCATCCTAAATTCAATGTCATGTATGACTTCACAATACAAACATGTCTTGTTTGCCATCCCCATTGGATTCATTAACCCATTCATATAACCTAGGATAGAAATTAGAATGCTTACTCTTCATTACCAGCCTGGTGTGGCGCCTTAGGATAAACACTCGACCTCAAGGTCGGTTTAAACCACAAGGTTGGAGGTTCAATCTCACCAGCCACTTCTCAGAAACCCTGTACAGGATCGCTATGAGTCAGAACCAACTTGAGCACTTAACACCAACAACCAGCCTAGAGTTCGCTGAGTGCTGGTAGCAGTGATTGTGTACACTGACTCATAGAGCAGAAAGCCTCAGCTCTCTCCCGTGGAGCAACTGGTAGATTTGAACTGTAAGCCTTGAAGTTAGTAGCCCATGCTTGTAATCCACTAGACTAGAGTTCTCTGAGCAAGGAGGTTTTTTTCCTATGTAGGGTTTCCAAGGAGTGGTTGGTGGATTTGATCTTTTGGTTTCAAACTGACCTTGTGGTCTAGCCCAGTGCATCATCCTGCAGCGCCACACCAGGACTCCTGGTAGCCATCTTTGTTGTTGTTAAGTGCTGTTGAGTCAGTTCTGACTCAGAGTGACCCTGTATAGGATTTCTGAGGAGCAGCTGCTGAGTTTGAACAAACATACCTTGCAGTCTAGTGCATTATCCTACAACATCACACCATCATGTTGTTGTTAAAAGTGCCATTGAGTGGGTTCGGTCCCATAGCGACCCTGTATAGGGTTTTCAAGGAGCAGCTGGTGAGCTTGAACTGTCAACCTTGCAGTTCAAATGGCTTTGCAGTCTGCTTCATTAACCCACAGTGCCACACCAGGACTCCTCACACCATCATAGAATGTCATTTATAATTTCTTAAGAGAAAAAGCAGATAGTCCTGTAGTCTGTTAGCTCAGTTGGTTAGAGTGTGGTCCTAATAATGCCAAGGTTGCAGGTTCAATCCCTGTACAGGGCAAATTAGAAGGGTGTCCTTTTATTCTCTTTCTACCTGGAGTGGCTCTATAGGATAAGCACTGGCTGTTAACCACAAGGTTGTTGGTTCAAACCAACCAACCTCCTCAGAAATCTATAGAAAGTCACTGTGAGTGGGAACCAACTCCAATGGCATTTCACAACACAGCTCAAGTCAGGGCCCTCACCATCTTAGGTCCATTTAGAAATTTAGAGAATCTGAACTAAGACAGTCATTTGACATTCCTGATGCCAGTTTCCTCATTTCTTAAGTCCTTGGTTCTTGTGCTGACTCCCATCTCCCAGCAAAGGGACACTGTTTTCTACTGGAAAATTGAACTACTTCAGTTGTTTCCAACTGAAAAGAAATTGTTAAAACATTTCCTCACTTACACAATGAGAATTCAACAGTTCATTGAAAAATGAAACGAGTTTTAAAATGACCTCTGAGAAAATTTTTCTTAACACAATAGGAGGGAAACAAAGCTTGATTTTGAATATTCTGAAGATGGATTCCTCATTTAGAAGACTAACTTTAAAACTGTTTTAATTGAAGTTTAATTTGGGAGTAAGACATACATTCATGTTTTAAAGTCTTCTCTCCATATAAGTCACCTGTTCAAAAATCATTTTAAACTTCCTCAGGTAAACTCTACTTAGTTGCTTATGTATCCCTTCCAATTTTCCTTATGCAAGCAAGTACTTATATAAATTATTGTTATCTCTTCTTTTCATAAAAGAATTTGCATATTTATACATCATGCTTCCACTTGCTTTCATCACTTAACAATTTAACTGTTGGAATTTTATTTTATCACTATTTACAAAGCTTTCAAATAGCCCTTTCAACATTGTATATGAGGAAAGCAGAGCTTATTTTCAGACAATTTGGACTATTTAGCAGGAGTTGAATCTGAAACATTCTAATCTTTTGCATGTTATCAGGTACAAAGAGGAGGCTTTGTGAAACTTGAAGGCAAGAGCTTGGGAGAGAGCACCCATAGCATTCTGCTATAAAGAAGCACATTCAGCTTAAAGTTACGAGCCATTAAAAGAACACTGACCTGTTTACTTCAAAGCAGTTTGCAGTTCAAAGTTGAGCAACTGTTTATTGTTTCCCTGATTTCCAGAATGCAATAATTAGCTGCTACTTCAAGCTCACCAGCTGTTCCTCGGAAACCCTGTACAGGGTCGCTATGGGCCGGAATCGACTCAACTTCATTTAACAACAACTGCTGTGTCTGATAGATGTTAAAGATAGATTGTTAGGAGTAAAGAAAACTGATATATTGTTATGTGCAAGATCCTGGTCCTTTTATTTTTCTGTTTCATTCTGTGTTAGTTTAGGTAGCTCGTGTTTTTCTAAAAATTTACCCATTTCTTCTAGATTTTCAAACATGTTGGAGTATATCTCTTCATAGTATTCTGTTATCCTTTTTATTTCCATTGGTTTGGTTGTGATGTCCCCCATGTAGCTTCTTGTGCAAGTTATTTGAGTCTTGCCCCTCTTTTCTTTAGTTAGATTTGCCAATGATTTGTCAATTTTACTAATCTTTTCAAAGAACCAGCTTCTTATCTTGTTGATTCTTTCTTTTGTTTTTCTGTTTTCTAATTCGTTTATTTCTGCTCTAATCTTTTTAATTTCTTTTCTTTGGATGACTGCCAGCTTACTTGGCTGGGCTTTTTCCAGCTGTTGGAGATGTTGTGCTGATCTGTTGAATTTGGTTATTTCTTCTTTTTAGATGTATACATTTATTGCTATAAATTGCCCTCTCAGCACTACTTTTGCTGTGCCCTGAAGGCTTTGGTATGTTGTGTTTTTGTTCTCATTTGCTTCAAGGAATTTTTTTTAATTTAGTTTTTGTTGTTGTTGTTGTTGTTCTATTACCCAGTAGTTTTAAAACAGGGTGTTATTCAGATTCCATGTATTGACTTTGTTTCCTTGATCTTCCTATTTTTTATTTCAAATTTTATGGTATTGTGATCTGAGAAGATGGTTTTAGTATTTTGATGTTTTGAATTTTATTGAGACTTGCTTTGTGACCTAGCACATGGTCTATTCTGGAGAATGTCCCATGTGCACTAGAGAAGAATGTGCATTGTACTGTTGTGTCTAGTGCTCTGTACAAATCTGTGAGATCATGTTGATTGATTGTGTTCTTTAGTTCCTCTCTGTGTTTGTTGAGTTTCTTTCTGGTTGTTCTGTCCTTTCTCGAAAGTGGTATACTAAAATCTCTCACTATTGGTGGTGGTGTTGTTAAGTGCCTTAGTCCTCAAACTGACACCTTTACTCTTGAACACTATAAAGAGGTCTTGTACAACAGATTTGCCTTATGCAATACATCATTTGATTTCTTGACTGCTGCTCCCATGAGTGTTGATCCAAGTAAAGCTTGAATAACATTAGTTTGTCTTTGGGTGATTCTTTAAGTAAAAATGGCATTCCATCAAAAAGCAACTAGCTCAGCTTACAACTCCAGTAATCACACATGTGCTGTCCTACATGAGAGAATGAAGCATAATTGTTTTATCACACAGTTTAAAAGATGGATATTTAAGGACTGGAGTTTAATAAATTTAATATTTTTACTGAATCATTGTTACAGATTGAATTTTTGTCATTAGTTGAAGTCTGCTTCAACTCATAGTGACCACAAATGCACAAAAGAGCAAAACACTGCCTGATATGGGGTGATGCTGATAGGATTTAATGATTCAATTGTGAGTAGTTGCTAGCAGGGTTAATTGTGATTGCCACAACTAAAATTGTAGAAGATGTGTAACTAAAAGGGAGGAGTAGTAAATCTCATTCAGGAACAGATGATTCCATCAAGAAGGAAGAACATTAATGGAGCATGAAATCCCTACTAGAAAAGCAGAGGTGGTGGCAGAGGCGATGGTATGGAGAGCCAGAGCAGCTGTGGGCTTGAGGCTCATGAAATGATAAGACTGTGTGTCTGTGGGCAGGAGGCTGGCTTGTAGACTATGCCCTTAGACATTTAAATGAATATATACTTTTTGTTTTGTATGTGAACATCAAATATTTTGTTTTGCTCATTTGTGAAATATAAGATGTAAAAGGGAAGCCACAGGGAGGAAATAGGATAACTGTTGTTGCAGGGAGGGGATTGTAATCATTGAGATGAAATAAAGCATATGATTTGTTGAATGTAAAGCTGATGATCTTGTCTGTTAACCTCCACTCAATTTACAATAAAATTTTTTTAAAAAAACCAAAAAGATATTTGCAATGAAAACAAAAACTTAAAAAATCTATTGGTTTTAATTAAGAAAACAAACACTGCCCAGTCCTACACCATCAGCACAATTGTGGTTATGTTTTAGTCTGTTGTTGCAGCCATTGTGTTAGTCCATCTCATTAGGAGCCTTTTTGTTGTTGATCCTCTACCCAACATGATAACCTTTGCCAAAAATTGATCCTGATAACATGTCAAAAGTACAAGATACGAAAGTCTCACCATCCTTGCTACTTAAGAGATTTCTGGCTATAGTTTTTCCAAAACAGATTTGATTTTTCTTCTGGCAGTCCATGGAACTTTTCAATATTCTTTTCCAACACCATAATCCAAATGCATCAATTCTTCTCCA